ACGTCTAGGCCCTAGGCTTGGGTCGTGACAATTAATTATCACACTTATTTCTTTTCAGGTATGCTAATTGAGCCAAAATAAAAGTGAGAATAATTAATTATATTTTTAAATAATGAATTTTCATATTAAAGTATGCATTTTTAGTAAGTATAATGAATAGAAAAAATATTAAGAATTAAACTAAAGAAATAGTAAAATAGAGTAATGAATCGATATCACAATAACTCATAAAAAAGGTGAAGTAATAACAAAATGAGTTAATAGTAATAACAATAACTAAAGATGTTTCTAGAACTGTTTAGTTTTCTTGTCATCATTTTCTTGGTAGATTTTTGTCTGAAGTTACATTTTTACCTTTGATTATCATTCACTTCATATATAGAAAGAAGTTTCTAGAATTATTTATTTTTCTTGCTATCTGTCTTAATAGATTTTTGTTAGAATGGATATTATATTTTTATTCTTGATCGTCTTAAATGCAATTATATCATCCTATTCATTTTTATTTGTAAAGTTACTTTTTAACATCTTTTTCTTTAATTTCAATCTAATATATATTATTAATTTTATCACACTTATTTATTTTCAAATATATTAATTAGATCCAAAATAAAGTTGAAAATAATTAACTCATAATAATTTTATATTAAAAGTAGGCATTTTTGATAAGCATAATGAATAGAAAAATACTAAGAATTATATTAAAGTAATAGTAAAATAGAGTAATGAATAGATATCACAATAACTCACAATAGAAAAGAAAGTGAATTAATAACAAAATAAGTTACTGGTAATAACAATTACTAAAGATGTTTCTAGAACTATTTAATTTTCTTGTTATCATTCTTGGTAGATTTTTGTTAGCGTGAAATTACATTTTTACCCTTGATCATTATTCACTTCATATATAGAAAGATGTTTCTAAAATTATTTATTGTCTTTCTTAATAGATTTTTGATAGAATGAAATTACATTTTTACCCTTGATCGTCCTACCACTTCACTCTTCTATATAATAGAAACTAGATTAGCTATGGCGCCGAACATGGTTGGTTTTGTTGTTTGCTTTTTTTATTTTATTGCAATAACAATATAAATTACACAGTTCAACTACATATAGTCAAATATCTTTGTACTAACATGGGTAGAACATGACATTTTTTCATGTACATATGCAAAAAGGATAAGCTCATATACTACCTTTACATAATATTGATTTATTCTTACATCAAGACAGATAAAATCAACACTAACATATACTAAAGTTTAAACAGACAATATCCAATAGTCTATGTACGAGATTGAGGCAAAATTAGTTACTTCTATTATAATATATTAAGTGCATAAGACAATTCCATAATCAAACATTTTAGACATAGATCAATAGTCTCTGCCTAATTTTAAAAAATTTCCACACTTCATGACAAATATTATACGTAGCCTTATCCATTTTGAAATTGTATCCTTTGTTGTCCCTACAGGACCATGAACATAGGGATGTCGCAATTTGCTTGCATAAGGGACATAAAATTTAGTGTATTGGTAATTGTATCTTGGTAAAGACCCCAACTGGAAATAAAGGAACCAAAGTCCTTACCAGACTATCTCTTCCAAAGAAGCGGGCTCAAAATAATACTCATTATTCACCTTGTCAAGATTGGATGTACACCTGTAATGAAAAATAAACACAATCAATCCAATATGTTTTTTTGTCCAGATGTTGCCAACTTTTATACCTTTTCATTAATTTTCTGAAGCATCGAGCGCTAAGTGAGGTTGTTCAAGAGTAGAAAGCAGGAGACCAGGTAAAGAACTTACACTATTCACTCTAGTTAAAACTGCATGATCAGTCTTCTCCTCTTCTGAAAGAGAGAAAGGAAACTTCTTCTGTTTATCAGCTAGCTTACTTCCCGTTAACTTTCTTATATAACCTGTGTTGTTTCCATTCCCATAAAGAGATACAATCAAAATTCAATAGTGTCTCACCGTGAAGACGTTTTAAGGCCTTACTATCGTACTTGCACTCTCCTCTTTTCAAATACTGTGAGCACAGATTAAAGATTCAACATCAGAGCTGAGAAGTGCTATGAGGAATAACATGGTTACAAAAGAATTTACATGCCTCCGTTGCCTCTTTTTCTTTTCGATCCCCAATGCTAATCACACACAATAAGTAGCAACCCAAATGCACATATTAGTGAACTGATAAAAGCAATTCCGAGAATGAATTCAATATCAACATATTACAACATCAACCACAGTCACAATCTAAATCACCGACAATGAAATGCAACTATTCAGAGGTTTTGGCCTCGTAGCATATAATGTAACACAAATGCATATTGAATTGTGATTGGTTTGTCGAAGAGACAACTTAAGCTTAATATTCAAGACAAAACTAACAAAAAATTATCTTAAAAAGAAAACATCAATTTAGTACAATCTACTAAATTTAATTAAGATCTCATAAGAATAACAGAAACATAATAATATTGAAGAAGAGAGAAACTGTAACACCCCGTATTCTACGTTGCCTTGTGGTATAGTTATGGACTTGAATTTCTATGCGACTAGTGACAATAGAATAGGTTTAAAGTGAGATAGTAAAAGGTGGTATTTGATGTAAGAGTCAAAGTGGTCAAGTGCGTATTAGTGTTACGGTCTTGTAAAGAAACTAAGATTGGGAAAATGGTGTAAAATAAGTGAGGTGCTTGCTTGACTAAACTGTGCTAGTAGATGACAAGTAGGTGATACACCTACTTAGAATTAGTGGACTGCATTCTAAGTGGAAAGGGCAAGTAGGTGATCCACCTACTTAAACACTTGTGGCAGAAATTAAGGAGGTGATGCACCTCCTTGCTTAAAAGTAATGGACCATATTATATCTCTAATTTAATAAGTGAAAACGTCCAAAAGGGACATCTAAAGAACTCAATCTTATCACATCTCCTTCATCACTTATTCTCCAAAAAATTGCTCCCAAGGAAAGCCATTGAAGCTCCAAGAGTTCTAGACTATAGCTTCACCATTAAAATTTGAAGCAAAGCCTTTCTTTTTAAAGTACAAGTTAGTAGAACATACCCATCTTAAGGAATTTAGGTGAATAATTTGATTTAACATCAAGTTATGGGGGAGAGGACAACCTAAACCTGGAAGAATCCAAGTCTTAGCAAGTGAGGATTCTATCCAGCAAGATAAATAATCTGAAAGGAAGACGATTAACTCATTGTAATATCCAAAGTTGTGCAACAAGGTATGTAAGGCTATTCGATTTCCTATTTCTTTGGCATGAATCCAACACTTGTATTACAAAAAGTAAGCTTTCTAAGTGCCCTTGGTAGTGACTAATCCATAGTTGTTATTCCTACTCCCTAGAGCATTAAAGTGAGTACTCTAATATGAGTTTATTACTAAATGTGCGTGCTTACTCTACCAAGTATTAGCATGCAAGGTTTAAACGTGTTTCATCGCCAAAGTACCCTTGGCATGTATTCCCCTTATATAAATCAAAGTGATCCTAGATTACACATGGTACATATGTTTATATGTTGGATATACAGTCTGCCCATTTCAAGCAAACTTCCTTCAATTGTCTATTCCATCATATATGTCATCTTGTCACATGTTCATATGTTCCCTTTATTGGTTATTACTTCCATTGTGTTAGACTATTATGTAACAAGATCCCCACTTGCTCTATTGTACATTTTATATGTACGTACTTGGAATATGTATCCGTCCTTAAGTTGAATCTGCCCACGTTCTCCCTTGGTTGTACTTTCATGTGTACCTTGTAGTTGATATTAGTTAGTGAGTATTTGGATACCATATAGAGTTCAAATCTCTTGGCTGAATGTTAAATGTCTTCACTAGATATGTGATTCAATTTGAGATGTCAAAATGCTTACTGAGTCATATAAGCTCCTAAGTATTAAGTTGGTGTCACATTTGCTTCCCATGTCATTGTTATTATCGTAAGTCCATATTCACATGTCTTCCACTACTGGTCAAAAGTTCCAAATCTCAACAATGATGATGACCACCTAAACAACAATCTCAAAAGAGTTATGATCATCAAAAAAATAATATCAAAAAAGTTATGAACATCAAAACAACAATCTCAAGGATTAAAGAATCTAAGAGAAGCAATTTGTATAATGATGGGTGGCAGCCTAGGTGCAAATGCCTAGCATGAGTCGATCTCAATTAGTATGGAAGAGTGGCAGCTCCGGGACGAAAGCCTAGCATGGGCCGATCCCAATTAGTATAGAAGGGTGGCTGCTCAGGGGCAAAAGCCTAGCATGGGCCGATCCCAGTTCGTTGAATTATGAAGACAGCATCCCAGGGGTTAAATACCTAGCATGGGTCATCCTCTTGTACCACTGATCAGCTGGTCATTGGTATCATATGCCTTATAAAGATTAGAACACACAGAAAAGTAAAGAAAAGAATGTAATATACACGATTCAAAAAGTATAAGCAAATGTGGTCTCTAATCCTTACCTATTTGTATTTGGTTTCACTTGAGCTCTCATTTTACATATGGTTGTATTATGCCATACATATTCAGTATATTCTTCCGTACTGACATCCCTTATTAGGGACGCTGCATTCCATGCTGCAGTATAATTACTCAACTAGTAGATCTCCCCCGTAGAAGCACATGATACTCAACGGTTGTTGGTGAGCTCCAGGTTGATTTGGGGCTTTGCCGAGTCTTTACTATGCGTATTTTGATAGTTGTACAGTCGTGGATTCTAGTATAGGCTTTGTAGATATTTTAAAACTATCATTTGTATTCATAGTTTTACCTGTCACATGTATTGGTTCAGCTAGTCGACATGTGTTGTATTAGCTTCTCAGTAGCAAATCTATATGCATAGTAGTTCACTTTCTCGTCGTAGGTCACTTGTAAAGCATGTGTTCATATGGTACTTGTCCGCCTAACCTAGGGTGGGGTGTGACAAAAGTGGTATCAGAGTCGTTCATCCTACGGAGTCTACAAAGCCGTGTCTAGTAGAGCCATACTTATGAATGTGTTGTGTGCCATATTTATAAATAGGGACTGCTTGGACATTTAGCAAATGTTACCTTCCTTCATAATCTAAATCGTGCGATAGAGCGAAGTTAAGAAGTCAATTTCCACTTGTACCTGATCATGTTAGTCATATTATGCGTACTATGGTTAAGGTTATTGGTAGCTAAAATGTCAACAAAACTTTATTGAGCTCATTTTATTCGACCATCCTACTCCACAAGGTATGTAAAGGTTTTTATGTTAGTTTCATCTAAAGTTGCATTTGTACCATTTGTATCACGTTTGTTCAGTTGAGAAAGATATAGTATGCTTATCCATATTCTTAAAAAATGATGGGTTACCTTGTTACATATAGGAGCTGTAGCATTTCCAACCACATCTTCTTAGGAGGATATACCCACTCTTGAGTTCTATATTTCCCCATATTTACAGGATCTATTCCTAAAGAGGACACTCGTTCTTAGTCTATGATATACATAGAATTTTCAGCGTTACACATGTACTCGAAATTGATGTTGTGGAAACCAGTTTCTTTTAGTTGGAAAAAGGCAGTGACACAATCTGATAGGTGCATGTACCAGTGCAATTCTGTTACTAGAGAGGTACCTAATTGGCTGACAAGGCCCAAATTCTCACCATATATCATCCCAAATATGTTAATAGTTGGCATTTTATATGATATGTGCCAACTACCCCGAATAAGTACTAATAACATTTATATTCTTTTCATGATTATAAAACTTAGGGACAAGTGTGCTAATTGCTGCAAATGATATATGGATGGCAGTTCCTACTACAATCTATATTTTGGTGATAGAGGATTAGTATGTGACCAAAGGGTAAGGTTAACAAAAGGAAAATTGATTGGTTAGACCTAAATTGTGATTAATGAGGTTGTACATAGTGGGATTAGAGCACATGAAGCTACTAGTTTTGATTAAAAGGTACTTGTTAGACAGGAAGCATGTGAGAATGAAGCGTGAATGACACATGCCGAATATGTACGTAGAGCTTCTAGTTAGAAAGAGATTGTACATGTAAAATCCCCTAAACATAGGAGTAGGGGTGATATGAGGATGCTATAGAAGAGTGAGATAGATGGTTACGAAAGAGTGGTTGCTACGTGTATGAGGCAAGAATAAGGTATCAACCTTCAACCCTAACAAGTTATAAAGGTGCACCTTGGAACAACTTTGTGAACCTTTGTTAGATAGAAAAGTCATTTTAGTATTGCTTCAAGCTTTGATATTTGGTCTTGATAACAAAAAAAAAAAAAAAGGGAATAGAAAGGCTACCTGGAGAGAAGATACATGGACATAATTCATCTACATCATTAGTACAAAAGAGAAGTAGAGCATTATACACATGTATAGACTTCCATCAATTGAATAGAGCTATTACATGATTCATTTAATATATGCCTATAGTAATTCATCAATCATAGTCCAATTAAGGGAGAGGAAAAATTCATCATATGCTAGTTGTTCGTATTTGATATCTTGCATGGGAAAAGAGTGGGAGCACCCTCACTTGTTATAAAAAAAATGAGGAAATTTATTAGCATGGCCAGACCTATCTAGTTAAGCCGAAAGCCGGCTAACTGTAAGACGTTATGAATCATGATATAACTTTATAGGTACCTGACATTAGAGTTCATGTTTTATGGTCTGTTCAAGTTTCACTATTTATTTTCTATTTTGACCTTGAAAAGGCACCAGACATTGAGTGTGATGTTACACAAACTAGTAAAAGAGGTAAAGTTGACCTCGACCTCTTACTCTAAAAGATGAACCATTGCAGATTTTTTTCTCTCTATCTTAAATGTAGTATTTATATTAACCTAGAAGGAAGCCAATCCCCAATAGCAGAACACCTATAATAATTCTGAGGAGATTGAAGAGAGTAAATGGGGAAATCAATTGTATATGCTTTGAGGTGAGTAAGGAATATGAGCAGAACTATCCCACCCGTGACCTAACTCTTAAGACAATGTTTTTTTCCCA